CTTACAATTAAAAAAACTTGGATATACAGAAAGTTCATAGTTTTCCTCGAACTCATTATAGTGCTGAGATTTCAGGGCAACCAACTGGCCCAGATGCTCCAGAGTCAAAGATACTGTGAGGAGAGATGACATTTGAGCATTAGGCAAGACACAGATAGTAAGAGTTAAGCTAGGGTGATTGGTGAATTGCTGGAGACCAGGTGTACACTGACAGAACTGTGTGAAACTCCTGGGGGCCGCAGTATAAAACAGGGTGAGTCTGTGTTCTCTTGTAGACTTTTTTCTCCATGAATCCCGTGGGGTGCTCAGAAGCTCCTGCAAAGGTCTCGCTGTGGTACACAACTGGGAGAGGGGAAGAGTAGCTCTACACTAGGGGCAAAAAGTTTTGCCTGGATCTTTTTGTCTTCTTTCTCTAATATGGAACAAAAGCTTTAATCTTTAATACGACGAACAACAAACATTATCACTCTTAGGGCACTGTTGAAATCCTGTTTAATGGAAAAGGCAAAATATCTTCAGCCAGTGGTGAAGGAACAGGAAGACATGCTCGGTATGGAGCAACGCCAGGAGAGTGGCAGGATGACTGAGAAGGCCACAGCCTGAGGCACAACAAGAGAGGGGATGACTTAAAGCTGAGAGTGGAGCAGTCACTAGGGGAAAATCTGGCATGCAGATAGATCCCCACCCCCAGAGGGATATGAAGCTTGTGGTAGGTGCCCTGATGGTAACCAGAGCAACAGTAAGGCTCAAACCTGGCCCAGCTTCTAATGAAATTAACTCGAGTCTTGCACTAATAGCTTAACAGGAGGGAAAAACCTGTAGGTCTATTAGTAGGAATTACCCATGCTGAAATACAAAGAGAAGAGTGAAAACAAGACAAAAAACAGAATGAAGTATCCAAGAGCTATGCGCCATTATCAAATGGCATAACATATTTATAATTGGACTTCCAAAAAGACAAGAGAGAACAGATTAGGAGTAATATTTTAAAAAATAACCAGTACCAAGCAGGATAAATACTACTGCCAACACACACACACACGCATACGCACACACACTCTCACTCTCAGACTGCTAAAAGCAAAAGATCAAGAGAATAATCTTAGAGAAGAGATATATTGTATACAGAAAAACAAGGATTAGTACCGTACTTTTTTCTTCACAAACTAAACTATGCAAGCAAGAAAAGGGGAGTAACATTGAACGTGCCGAAATTTTTTAAAAATTCCTCTCACCCCAAAATTCTCTACCCACCAAAAATATCTTTGAGAAATGACAATTTCCTCAAACAAAAGTCGGAGGAATTTATTGCCAGCAGACCTGCTCTACAAAAAATGTTAAAGGACTCTGATCCCAGCAAAAACTTGAGTCTACCCAAAGACCTGAACAGTGGAAATGCAATAAATGAAGAC